GAGGTTTTTGAAATGGCCACTAGAGCTGCTTTGCAAGCCCGGCGTGGCAAGAAAAAGTCCGGGTGCCTTCTCTTATAAAGTGTGGCCAGAGGAAGATGGCCAAAGCAGCACCCTGCACTTGAGTAATTTTGAAGTGCTGTTTATTAATCTTAGTGTATGATTACTGGCCTTTTTCATTATCTATAATTTACTTAAGAGATTTAAAAATCGAGTCATCTTGCTACCAGTATTTAGAAGCCAACCATGATTTTTATAACAATCTGCATCAAATTCATCTGTGCACCCAAGGTTAACCTCAACATTCCTCTAACAAACCTTTTCTGCACTCACAGGATATGCCAGGCGCTAATTGAAGACAATTCTCTATCTTCTTTCTTCTCTCTAGAAAGAGAAAAATCTGTCAACACAGAGGATTGATCTGTAACTACTTTATAACTAACGTCCTATTCTAATTGAGTACAACAGTTACATGGCTGTATGTGGAATCAAGTGTAGCTTCAGTGCTATCACATTTAGGAAGGTCTGATTTTCATGGCTCAGTGGTGTAAAGCATTAGTTTGAAAATGTGATCACTCTGAAATGACCAAGTCCCATTCAGCTAAGGAAAAGTGAGGGTTCTGTGGTTTCATGTTAGTTACCTTTTAGTTACTGTGTAATTAGTGCCAGTTTAAATGTATGTTACCAAAAATAAATCTATTTACCCCAGCTTAGATGTAGTATTTTTTGTATAATTGGATTTCCTAATACTGTTACTTGTAACCTCTGCGTTAAGGTGTTCTGGGTTTTTTAAGAAACTGTATTTGAAAATAAAGTCCGATGGAAAGCAGCTGATCCTCTTCCCCTGTTCATTTGTAAGAGTCTGACCCATTTGAATGATTTGAGTGGTCTGCACACCCCAGGAGGAGTTTTTTCCATGACGTGCCGTAGGGATGAGAAAAGACAGCCTGCTCACACTCAAAGCTTCTGAACTGTTCAGTTGCCTTAAGTTCATTGCTGGACCCAGTTTCAAAACTGAAAAAAAAAAAATAAAAAAAAAAGAGAAACTTTTTGTGTAAGTTTGGTTACCATGTAGTGATCAGACTCCTAACCTGTGAACTTCTTGCTGTTCTGCAGCCAACTAAACTCTTTCTGTATTTTCATTTTTCCAACAACTAATAGAATAAAGGCAGTTTTCTAAGCTCCCTGTATCCTGGTGTCTGTATTCCTCACTCTGGGTTTTGGGCCCAGCATCTGACAGCCTGAATCAGAAATACCATTTTTGATACAGCTGTGATAGGATTCACTGAGCAGCTGCAGGTGCTTGGATGCTTATTTCTGTTTCCCAGCAAGTGCTACCCACCCGCTGCTCGCAGCGGTTTCCGAATGCTGCAGCAGAGCAGAGGTGGAGCCCCCTGCCCTGCCTGGCCCCTGTGGCGAGTGGCAAAGCTTCCCAGGAGCTTCTTTTGAAATTCAAACCAGGTGAGAGTCCGTCAGTGGAGTTGAATTTGTCCGTCCTGAGCGTGGGAATGGAGGAGGCGATGTAGGAGGGGAGTGTAGGAAGAAGGGAGGAGAAGGCAGCAGCGATGGTCTGCAGTGCACTGGTCTGCACCGGCGTATACCCCACGCGCTGCGCTGGGGCACGTGGGAGACGCACGTGGCAGCACGTTGGCCGTGCCCTTTTCAAGAGGGCTGGGCTCGAGGTGTGGGCCGCTGTGCTGCACCCACGCTGGGGAGCAGACTGTGCTGCTGCGGGGAGACAAACTGTTCGCAACAGCAGAGTTGTGCATCTCCACGCTTGCACTGGTATCTGAGAGCCTCTGCGGGGCTGGGCAGGAGGGAGTCCAGTTGCTGATGACCATCCACGTAACTGAGCACCTGGCTGCATTCGAGTAATGACCTAAAAAAATCAATGCTAAATTTTTTTTTTTTTTTCATGACAATTTTCCTGGTTCATTTTCCTGCAACAAAGGAGAAAGAAACCTGGCCAGGGGAGTGCCCTGTACCTCTGGTCCTTGTCCTCCCTCTGCAGCCACAGACACCCCAGAGCGAAGCTCCTGGCCAGCCCGGTGGTGGCACCCACCCCCCTTCCCTCCTTCCTTTCCTGGGAGCCTGTTCTCTGCTGGCGCAGGGCAAGGGGGTTGAACAGAGCAGGAACAGCCCAGTTGCAGGGCTGCCCAGGAGGATGTCAGTCTCTGCCCTGTAAATAAGTTTGCTCACTCCTCCGCAGTTCCCTTTTTTGGGGGGGTTTTGTTGTTGGGTGGTTTTAGGGGGTGGTTGGAGTTGAGCAAATCTGGGGTTTTTCAGTCATGCGGAGCTGCTGGGTTGCAGTTCTCTGCGGTCACAGTTGCAGAGCAGCTCTTCAGCTGCTCTTCAGGGGTTTTCAGCAGGGTCTGCATGTTCTTCAGAGGGAGCTTGTGAGTTGTGTACCTGCTGATGCACTTCCACCCAGCAATGATTAATTTGTTACCCCAGTTTTAATCTAAGCCCCTGTTAACCTACAGCACCACCTCTCCATCTCCTCTGTCTTGTCCACCAGCTGGCATTGGGCTTCCAGGCCCGGCCTGCCTTTCTCCAAGTTCAGACATGTTGGTAAGTCAGTGTCTCCCACTTAGGACCAGAAGCTCCAGCTCCCTCTCCTCATCCCTTGCATCACTGGCATCAGAGCAGAAGCCTGCTGGGGGGAGTGCGTGGTTGTGAAGTTTATCAGTCGTTATCAACCCTCCTGCCTTCGAGGGCTGGCAGCCTGGCTCCCTTTGGGTTCCCACTGCATCCGACACCTCTGGAGGCCACCCTTCTGGATGAAACAGAGGACACACCCAGACCAGACTTGTGAAATGAGAGCTCAGGGCTCACAGAGAGCAATCCAGCCAGGCGAGGAGCTGTGAAAGGGGCAGGGGAAATGCCAGGAGCCAGGTCCAGGCCCCTGGCCAGGGGAGGGAGTTCAGCACCAGCGGTGGGGAGGAGATGTGAGCGGGAGGCCCGAAGTTGTGGTTTTGTGGTGTCTGTGATTACCCACCACTACTTTGTTAAACCTTCTGACATCGTAGAACAGCCGTCAACTGTGACACATCCAAAAATGGGTCCCTTGAGCCCATCTAGTCCCTCAGGAGATCATGGTGCTCCTCTGGATCCAACTTCAGCTGGCCCCACAGCATGTGTCCAGGCACAGAGTGTATCTCGGAGCCACCAAGGAAGTTCAACTCATTTGGTTTCCTTAAAACTAGGGAAAGCCCTAACCTGCTCCTGTCTGAAAAGGGCAGGGCCCCAGAAGTAAACTCCCTACTTCAGCTGAAATCCCCAGATCCAGCCTGAGGATTGAAGGTGCCAGACTGAGCAAGCATCAAGTGGCAGCAGAGAGATGCCTCTGTGCCACAGCCCTAGAGGTCACCCTGAAGAGAAATTCCTTCTCTTTATGCTGTCTGCACAGCCCTAGAGGTCACCCTGAAGAGAAATTCTTCCTCTTTAAGCTGCCTGTGACTCGCCATGCCCTGGGGGCAAGTGAGGAGTCTGCATGGACTGTAACCATCAGTTGACTCAAGAGCAAACCTGGGTCACATACCTCTGCTCCTCCCGTCAGCCATTTCCCAGCTGTTCTTATCTCTCTCAGGACACTTGTGGCTCCTGCTATCAGTGCTGCAGCACGCTGCAAAAACTGCAGGTCCCCAAAGATGCAAGCTTATCAGATCAGTCCCTAAAACTTGCCACAGCCGGCAACTATTCCAGCTCCCAGTCACGGGGGCAGGTGCCAAGAGTGGCCCAAAGCAAAACCCCAGATCCTGCGGTCACCTGGGAGCCCAGAGCAGAGATGCAGCTCTGGGTGGCCTGTTAGTGACAACTAGCATTTCATGATGAGTCCCAGCTACCAATCATGAAAGAAAACGGACAGCAGAAGAGGGGGGCCCTGAGCACATCCCCCCGCCCCGCTCTGGGGCCCAGGCTGCCTCGGCTGGGGGCCAGGGCTGATAAGCAGCTCCCTGACCTTTTGGCTGCTGAATGGAGCTCGCTTGGTGCAAACGCTGGCAGGAGCCTTGGCAAGGGCTCCCTGCTCCCCCACGGGAGCCCGGCTGAAGCTGAGGCCCTTCCTCTTGGTCCCTGCTGAGGTGTGCTACCCCACGGTCCCTGTCGGTCCGACCCACAGACATCACCTCAAGGCCTGACCCCGGATCTGCCTCTTTGCAGTGTGCTCTGGAGGAGGGCGATGTGTCTGCACAAAGACCTCCGGGCCACGTTGCCTGGCATGGGGACAGGCAACGGTCAGCGTAGCTCACCTAGGGCTGCCCTGGATCCTTGAGAAGAAGAGCAGTTGCTACTACGTGATTTAAAACTCTGTAAACCAGACCAAAACAGTAAGGCAAGAAATGGAAAAGCCAGGAGTGGAGAAGGGCAACCACTTAAGTAAAGCGAGGCTTCACCAGCCTCAAAGAGGTAGGAAAAACTATAAAAGGAGACTGAAGAAGGGAAAACATTACTGCCAACAACAGCAGCTTTTGTACCCCTCCTGTTCCTGCTCCTGGTGCACAAACTGAAGGCACTTCTCTTCCAAAAGCTGCTCTCGTTGGCAGTGGTGTCCGAGGAGGACGCTGCAGCCCCCGGTGCTGTGCCGTGCCATCTCCGTACTTGGGCGGTCTTGTCACCACAAAGGTTTTAGCTCCTGGGACCACTTTGTGTTTTGCTGATTTTTCCACAGCGCTTTTGGTGACACTTTCTCCCGTGTTACCTGCAGATGTACAAACCACCCCATTCTGAGCTTTTAACTGTCCAGAAAAAACACCAAGCTTTTCCGGGAAGATGGGGAAAAAGGCGGAGGGGCGGGGGGGGGGGGGGGGCAGCGGGGCACGCAGTGCCGGATCCCCTCGGCTGGCTGGCGAGCCGCCGTCCCGCACAGCCCCTCCGTGCCCCCGGGGTTGGGGGGGGCCCCGCGGGGTGAGGATGGAGGCGGTGCCGCTGCCGGGAGCAGAGCGGCGAGGAGCGAGGGGGAGGTGGGAGCGGCGGGGGAGGGAGGGCTCCGGGCGGGGCGGGGAGCGGAGCGGAGCGGGGGCCGGCCCGGCAGAGCTGGCCATGGCGGCGGCGGGAGCGGGAGCGATGCTGTCGGGACTGTCGGGACTGTCGGCGAGGCCGCTGGGCGCGGCGGAGCCGCTGTCGCTGGGCTCGCTGCGGGGGCAGGTGCTGCTGGTGGCCAACGTGGCGTCGCTCTGAGGCACCACCACCCGCGACTTCCTGCAGCTCAACGAGCTGCAGCAGCGGTACGGCCCCCGCGGGCTGCGGGTCCTCGGCTTCCCCTGCAACCAGTTCGGGCACCAGGTAGGGCGGGCGGCGGGGCCGGGGGGGGCCGGGGGGAGCCGCCTGTCCCGTCTGCGCTCTCACGGGGCTGGGCGCCGGGCGGTGCTTTTGTTTCCCTAGGAGAATGCTACGAACGAGGAGATCCTGCTCTCGCTGGAGCACGTCCGTCCCGGCAACGGGTACAAACCCAATTTCATCATGTTCGAGAAGTGCGAGGTGAACGGGAAAAACGCGCACCCCCTCTTCACCTTCCTGAGAGAGGCGCTGCCCTTTCCGCACGACGACCCCTCCTCGCTGATGACCAACCCGCAGTACATCATCTGGTCCCCGGTCTGCCGCAACGACATCTCCTGGAACTTCGAGAAGTTCCTCATCGGCCCCGACGGCGTGCCCTTCAAACGCTACAGCCGGCATTTCGAAACCATCAAGATCCAGGATGATATTGAATTGCTTCTGCAGAAGGTTCCCAAGCACGTTCTCGAATAAAGCTGCCCGGCCCCCTCGCTTCCTGCTCCGCCGGCTGCGCTCCTGCCCACTGCTCGCAGGGGGCTGCTGCTCCGGCAGAAATCCCAATGTCTCATGCAGGTTTTGCTTATGACGGTGCAGCTTCCAAATTCTCGAAGTGTACTTGATGTTTTCAAAAGTTGCATGTGAATGTTTGGGAAACTATGCCGGGGAAAGCAGCTGTGAGTCTCAGTAGCTTACTGTGATTCTCTGAATAAAAAAAAAAAAAACAAACCAAAAACGTGTCCTTTCTTCAAGGCTGCGGCTTGATAAATCCAGGCAAGTCGGGTGAAGCACGGTGACCACGTTACCCATTCATCAGCTTGTGTGCATGCTCACAGGGGCTGACTCAAACGGCTTGAGCGTGATAGTGCAGTCAGGCTGAAACCTGAACGCAAACCTAGGGCAGCGCGGTGAGCAAAGAGCATTTGTGAGCTCTGCAAACTGTAAATCAGCGCCACGTCTCGCCCGGGTGCACCGAGCTTGGCAGAGCGGGAGAGTGGCACAGAACAGAAATACCTTGTAAAACTGCTCACAAGCACTCGAGGCTTGCCTGCAGAGGAAAGAGGAGGCACCACATGGCCAGGGGGTGATTTTACTTTACCCTGGCTGACAATCTCCCAGCTTGGCCACCAACAGCAGGCCATGGCAGGTTAATAACTGCTCAGGCAGGTAGATGAGCGATTCTGCAGCCTGTGCTGCCGTGTGGGCAGAGGGCTTGGGGGAGAAGAGCCCTTAGGCCAAGGCCCATCTTGTCATTTGGCCTCTGGCAAGCAGATGCCCCGGGGGGACTTGGACCAGCACCCCCCATCCCTCCCCTTGTCCCAGAGCTGCTGCTCCCTCCCAGGCTCGGCTGTTTCTTGGCTCTATCCCATTTTGCATCAGTGGTAGCCCAACCTCTACTCGCCCAGTCCTACATGAAGCCTGTATTGCCTTGGTGCCTCCCCAACGCCTTGCAATGCAGGGAATTGCACAAAGAACCAGTTCTTCCGTGCTCCCCGTGCAGAATACCAGCCTATTCAACCAACCGCTTCTCCCACGAAAACTGTGCCTTGCCTCAGAGTGTCCTTGTTGCCCTTTGGCCACAGGAATTGCATGCACGGGTGCACCAGGGTTCAGGCAATATTTTCTTCTTTTTATTCCTTCCCTAACTCTTTTTTGACTCCTGTCAACCACAGAGCTGACAGGTATTCCATGGAGTCATTACAATAATCTTGACATGTTCCTGCGTGGCAATCCTGGGGTTTACAGCCTGTTGCCAAATAATTGGAATTAGGATTGGTTTCCCCTGAGAAACCGCAAGCCTGTGCCAAATTTCACCTGTCACCTTACTGCCCAGTGGCTCAGGTCCCTCTGCAGGTGAATTCTCACTCCTTAGGTGGCTCTGTGAGCACATTTTCATTACAAGCCACCCCTCGCAAGGCCTTGTAGCACCAAGTATAAACTGAGGAATACTAACAGAGACTGGAAACTCCTGCTTTCAAAGGGCAGGTGTAGCACTATCAAGCATTAGTGCACTGTTTTCACAATGAAAAACACTTCGGGGTTGAGGTTTTGGGGGTTTGTTTTCCTGTTGGTAGCTTCTAGCTGGTTGCTTTGTTACTGTACCTACACTCAAGGCCCCCTCCGGGCTGAGAGGCACTGGGGCAAAACCTACAGCCGGCCCCACCCTGCTTGCTGCTACCCCTGAGTCATCCAGCTTTGAACTCGGATTGCACAATCCTCAACGGGCTATTTCTTAACTTCCAGTACAGCTTTGTGGCAAAAACAGGATGTTTTCAGTAGCTATTTCAGCTTTGGAGCAGAAGCTGCTTGATTTGTGGGATCATTTTTTCATTTAAATCTACTTCCCTCATTAATGCAGGATGTTGCAATATGTGAGGAGTACAAGAGGATCATGGGCAGCAGGAACTCACTGCACTGAAAAAAATCCTTCTCGACATGAGCTGTGGCACTTCCTCAATCCTGACTTGCCAGACTCGAGCCCTTTGAGTGGGACCACCTGTGCTTTGCCCGTTCCTCGTCGGCCTGCGGCCCCTGCCGAGCCTCGCTGCCGCGGGGGAGCAGGCCCTAACACCCGCTGCTGCTCCGACAGCAGCCCTGCCAAAAGGGTCTCTCGCTGAGCCTGCCTATCCGAAAGACATCTTGCACTGTGCTTATTCAGTGCTAACGGCCAAGGGATTTATTTACCTTCTGGCTGCTGGGTCTGTGCTAGCAGAAAAACAAAGCAGCAGCTCCAGAACAGATACAGCCGTGCCAGCAGAAGTACAGTGACGTGATTCCAGGATGAAAATTAGCCATGCCAGCAGGAAAACGAATGATCCCAGTGTAAGCACACCAGCAGGAACTCTGCAGCGTAGATAAAAGCCTCCCAGCTTTGTTATTCACTGTCTCGTTTCAGCATTCCCTGGAGTAGCTGGCCCCCGGGGTTAAGCGGGCTGAGGTGAAAAAGGGCAGCCGGCGGGCTGGAAACCTTCGGCGGGACACCCGCAGAAGAGCACAGCCCCCACGGTATTTGGTGGTGGGACCAGAGGGGATGAAGGTGTTTCGCTACAGGTAGCGGCTCTATGCTGAGGGTAGACCTGAAAAATCCCGGGTGATTCCTCGGGGATTATAAAATGGCCCAGTTCTATTTCTGTAATTTCAGAGAGAAACAGACTGACTCAGTAGGAAACCTTAAAATAAATACTAGTGCTTTAGCTCACTTGGATGCTTCCGTGGCTTGAGGACATTGTCCTTTCAACATCTTGTCTGTCACATCTACACTCCTACACTTTTTTTTCCTACTTCTATAATTTATTGCAGTTAATCCCTCTGTTAGTGTTCACCTTGCTTTTCCATTCTTCTGTCAGCTCCATATATCCCCTCCTCTCTCGAGAATGTCTACCCCCCCAACCTTCTCTCTCCTCCCAGTAACTCCCTCCCCCTCCATTAGCTGATAGTTGCCATCAACTTCTTAAATCTTCAAGCAAATGCAGGTATTTGAAGCTGTCACAAGCGTTAACTAGCTGCAAATTATCCTTCCTGCCTCCATCTCCCTCTCCCGAGTTCCCTAGTGTTCTGCCCACCAAACTGCAGTACATCTCCTGAAATCACGCTGATGTGTTCAGAAACACTGCTCAATAGAAATGCCAGGTGGAACCTAAGACCTTTGTTACTCAGCCTGGTAAATGTTCTTTCAGCTATTTAAAATCCCTTTCTCCTCCTGCTGAGCTTTGTTGCACCTGCTGATTTTTAAGATAGATAGCTTTTAGTCACCAATTTTGATCACTGCCATGGTAAGGCAGGTAGGAAAACCTGCCTCTAACCCGGTGGCACTTGAAAAAACTTTGTTCCTGTCGGTACCACTCTCTCCATGAACAGCCATCAGGTTCGGCTGGAGACTAGGGCAGGAAGCTGAACGGCTGAAAGGAAAGCACTTGACGAGACAGGAGAACACGGACACCCCCATCTATGGTGAAACTGTAATAGTGTCATTTCCTAGTAATGAATCAGAAATCTTTGAATGAGACCATTTTAATTGTTTACCACACTTTCTATTAGGAGTAGGTAATTCATTAACAGAGTGAGGTCAGCCATGTAAGCATTATCTCAGAATAGCTGACTCATATTAAAACCACACCCAGTCTTGCCATAAACAGGGCGTGTTAGTTTCTTGATGCCCAAAGGGCCCCTGCCCTTTGAAAAAAACAGAAGTAACAGGAGTCAACTCTTGCTGGAAGGAGAAAACGATCTTCTTTTTCAGTGTTAACTGGATGGGCCTGCCCCGCTGCCATGCAAGGCCTTTAGCACTTTGCCCTGGCTAGCAGCAGCAGTGCCAGGCCGGGCTGGCAGGAGGCAGCTCCTGCCCACCGCACCGCCCAGATCCGCTGCCAGGCGAGCGCTCCCTGCACAGGCACGGCTGCTGCACATCCCCCCTGCCCTTTCTTTGTGTGAGGCAAACGGATTTCTTCGGTGTATCGGTTTAAAGCAAGTTTTTAAGTCTCTGAATCATCTGAATCCTTCTGAATTCCCCCACTTCTCAAGGACAGGCTCCCTAAACAGCACAGGATATGCTACTTGAGAGACAAATGCCTAATCAGTTCTTGAGAGGTTCTTTCCAGAGACACTTTCAAAACTCCTGAGCGCTCACCAGCCATTGCTCAGTCCCATTCTCTTTGTTTATTCCTGTAACAATTTGAAGTCTCCTTCGCTAGCTGACACCCTGACCACTGGGCTCCATGAAGTCAGTCCGGGGAGAAAATGGAGCACATAGCACTGAAACTACACAGTCCACACCACACGTTTCTCCTGCCTGCTTTGGAGGAGGTTGCCCTGGCAGTCCATCTCGGGGACGAAGTCTCCTGCGTCCCAATGCCTCCAGCCTTGCTCCGCGGACCCTCTACGCCCTCTCAAGCTTCTAACCCCGGCTGACCCTCCGCCCCGCCAGCCCCAGAGGCTCGGGGAGGAAGACGCCCACCGTGTCCGCCCCTCAGGGCGGCAGCTATCCCCTGCCCTAGCAACCGCAGAGGCAGCGCCCAGCAAAAAACGCCGTTCCCTTGCCGCTCGCGAGGCCCACAGGGCTGTCTCTAGCACAGAGAGTACGGCCTGCCACCGCGGACCGGCGAGGAACCGGCTCCAAGATGGCGCCCGATGCCATAACCCCTGCCTCCACCCTTGCTCACGGCCCCGCCAAAGGGCGCGCAGGCGGGGCGGGGCGGGCGCAGCCAGCGCGCATGCGTACGCGAGCCGACATCCGCTCGCGGCGGGGCGAGCGCACCGACATGGCGGAGGCCGAGGGCGGCGGCGGCGCCTGGGCGCGGCCGAGCACGGCGGTGCAGCGCAGCGAGCTAGGGCCGCTGCTGGCCAGGACCCTCCGGCCGGGGGATTCCTGGTGAGCGCAGCCGGGCGGCCTTTCCTTCTGTCCCCTCCCCCTCGGCGCGGCGGGGCCTGCGGGAGCGGGCCGGGCCGGGCCGCGCCGCGCCGCGCCGCTGAGGGGACCGCGCCGTCCGGCGCCCTGTGTTGCAGGTACCTGGTGGACAGCCGCTGGTTCAAGCAGTGGAAGAAGTATGTGGGCTTCGACAGCTGGGACATGTACGCTGCGGGCGATCCCGGCCTCTTCCCCGGGCCTATCGACAACTCGGGTCTTTTCGGCGGTGAGTGAGTGCCGGGGCCGCGGGGGAGCGGGGCCCTGGGCGGCCGGGCCTGGCGCTCGGGTTGCGGCCCGGGCTCCGGTAAGTACCTCCCGCCTGCTGGCGTCTCATCGCGTAGCTTTCGCTTTTGGAGCCGTGTGTGCTGAGGGGATACAAGCGCCAGTCCTGCCTTTCCCAGTGAGGAGACTGGTCCGGTTTCTGTCTACCTGTGTAAGCGTTGGTATTTCTTAGCGGCAAGGTAGTATGTGTGTAGGTCCTGAGAAGAAAGGATTCTGATGTCATGCTTTCTTATGTCTGTCTTCCTTTTAGATCCGGAAACTCAGAGTTTAAGAGAGCATCTCATTGATGAGCTAGATTATGTGTTGGTTCCCACCGAAGCCTGGAATAAACTAGTAACGTGGTACGGTTGCATGGATGGACAGCAGCCTATTGTGAGAAAAGTAAGTATGGGTGAACCAGGTTCTCTTCAGCCTGATTTCATTATCTGGTCTCTGCCAGACTTAGGTGATGTTTATTTTGCTGGATGTGAGTTAAGATAGGATCCTCAGCAGCTCTTGGGAGATAATAACATGAGGTCGTCTTGCCTTGTCTGAAAGAATGACATTCCATTATTACAGTTAAAATGGCCAAATCCTGAGTGATTCTCAGTTGATGGGTTATACAGGGTGAGAACCATAAACCTTGTTCTGGTTACCTTTTTGCATTATGATTGTTTGGACTGGTGCAGTGCTTTTATGTTGCGTGGTATAGTTTGTGCTTTGTTAAAAAATGCAGGTTGTTAGTCAAGCTTAACAATGTTCCAGGACAGAATGAGGCGTTGGAATAAATTGTATTTTAGTACACATGGCTTAGGGATTTTCTCTGGGAGTTTAAGATGGTTCTTGTTTTCTCTTCCAAGGTTCTGTGATTCTAAAATCATGAAGAGAGACATGTTTGTGGTTTTGTTCTGTAAGTCTTATTTTTGTTTGGGAAGTACAGTCATGAGTGTATAACCTATTCTGGAAGGTGAAATTCACCAATTGCTTTTTTTGGAAATCTTATCAGATACTTGTTTATGGGCAAAAGCTTTTTGGGTTTTATTTTAGTCTTAGGTTTTTGCACTGACTAAATTGAGTAGTGCCAGTCTGTGGTGTTCATAAAGACTAATCACTACACTGAGCAAATAGTGTTGTTATGATGTACAGAATTAATATTGCTGAACTTTAAGTAGCATTATGTTATAGTGAAGGTTGCTTCAAGGTGTGCAAGACCCAGAAAAATCTGGTCCCGGAGTGGTGAAAGGAAGGTCGGTCACTCTTGCAGGCCCACTCATGCTGATCAGTGGCACTGGAACATTGTCATTCAGTGTGGGCTAGAAATTGTATGTAACAAGAAATTATGACATCTTCAGGAAGTGTAAATGATCCCAGGTTCACTAGGTGACCTCAGGTTCACTCTGCTGAGTAGGCAGAACTCTAGTGTGAACCAGAAGTGGGGGGAGTGGAAAAGAATTATAGCATGTAAAGGAGATGTGGGTTTAGTAGAAACAGATAATTTCTTGAGGAATAGAAAATGTATGCTGAGAAGAAAAGCTGGAACTATTACTCATCAGTGCCTTTAAGTGAGGAAGCTTTTATGAACTCACTAACAGCTTTCACAAAGCCTGGCATGTTATTAGACACTCCCTTTTCTGAAAAATTTAGAAGTTAAATGGGGGGTTTGAAAGCTGTTGGGGAAATGCTAGGGTGACAGGCTTAACTGTATGAGCCTTCTTTTCTTGGGGTATCAGGTGCTGCTATTCATCACTGTGATTACTGAGGGCTAGAGCTTAGAGCTGGTGCTCTTTTACAGACGTAAGATGCCAAGTTACCATGGTCCAGTTAAGAGTAAATTTTTAAAGTTTTGAATTGCTCTGAGTGTCAGTCTCTCATTTATTGTTAATGTGTAACTGAAGTGGATTTTTACATTTTAAAAAATGTAATATAGCAGAATAGTACGTTTGTGGGATGTTACAGCCTCTTACAAAAAATATAAATTGAAAGATCAGTGGGGCACACAAGCTGCAACACTGCACCCGAATAGAATGTGGTCGGTATCTGGTTACAGTATTTTCTGGATAGCATTGGAAGTAAAGCACTTAAACTTGTTGTCCTTGAGTGCTTTAATCCTTTTCTTAAAGATGGATTAACGGTAATTCATACCTCAAAATATCCATAAAAGTAGAATTTGAGAAGTAATTTTCAGGCATCTTTTCCATTTTACAAGCTGGTATTTCTTCCATTTTATGTGCCTGATGATCAGAGACAAGTACAGGAGGATTAGATTAAATTTATTTGTGACTCAGGTTTCTTTTGATAATATCTAACCATATTTTCAGGCGGTCTTCTATAGAGTCCCACTGCGAAGTGTATTAATGTGTGAAATATAGAACAGTGTGCTTCCTCAGTGTTTGAATGCTTGTTGTGCTCAGATTGCTGTCCAATGGGAGGACTGGATGACTGGAGTTTTATTTTGACAGAGAACAAGCTAGCTGATCATACAGTGCTTAAGACATGTGCAGACAATTAGAGACTATTCTTGCCATTCATCCACAGTGATCTGATCAGAAATTTCTTCTTGGAAAGAGTTCTTCCATTTCTGAATACAGTTCTCATTTATTTGTTTCTAATTATAGAATCCTTGAGAATAGGAAGTCCGATTTAATTAAATTCATTCTGAAAAAGAAATGGAGAACGTGTGAATTGGTTCCTTTGCATTCTTAAAAAAAAAAAAAAGTAATTTGCCTGTCAAGAAGCTATTTAAACAGGGAGTTTTACTTTCTGTTGTTACAGCAAAATACTGAAGAACTTTTCAAATGTATTTGTTAATTATTTACCTTTGAAGCACATTGCATGTCTAATATAACCCTATAAAAGCTCAGGAGAGGGAAGCATAATTTAGCCAAATTCTCACATTAAGTCTGAGTCTTAATTCTTTGTTTCCAGAGCTGGGTAAAGTTTTTTTCTGTAAAATGATACAGATGTAGATCATAGGAAGTCTGGTGTCACACGAATGGAATATTTCAGTTGGAAGGGATCTACAACAATCATCTAGTGCAACTGCCTAACCACTTTAGGGCTGACTGAAGGTTAAAGCAAATTAAGGGCATTATCCAAATGCTTTTTAAACACTGTTACTCTTAAAAATTATACCTGCTAGTTCAATTAAATATGATTTCAATTTCATAGACTTTATAGCACAAAGAACTGTGGAGAGAATTTATGTGAATTTCGTTGTTTTGTTTTTGCCTTCGAGTTACAGCATAGTTGTCTCATAACTGGCATCTAAAATGTGCTTTTTTTTCTGGCATGTGTTATGTCATCTGTAGGTGAAGAGTGGTGTCTAGTCTTACAGAATACCTTTCTAAAAATATGCTGAAAGCTAGTGGGACGAGTAGATGTACCTACTGGAGTATTCTCTCAAATGCAAAATTGATTTGAAAATGACTCTGAAATAAAGCAATGTCATCAAAATGAGCTCTGACACGTCTTTTTTTTTTGCAAGGAAAGAGTAATGAGGCAGATTTCTGTATACCATGCAGAAAAATAATTAATGTTTTGTCTTACTCTCTTCTGATAGAAAGGATTTTGCTTCAGTGTTCCAGGTTTGTTTCTTTTTTTGTAAACCTGAGCCAAAGACTAGAGGCAAAAGAATTTTTTTTCTAGAATGCTCTGTGTGATCAAATATTTTTTCATGGGTAATTAGTTGACGCTATCAGTTCATCTGTGAGAGGGACCTTTGGAACTTCGCGCTGTGGAAGGAAAGCACTAGGATTTCTTGTGTTTTAAAAATAAAACAAAAACCCCCAAACAAGCTGACTGGTTGTGACTGAATATGGACTTGAGAGCAAGTCAGTGTTCAGTTTATGGCTTGACTTGTAGGACTCCTAAGACTTAAAATATTTAGACAAGTTTACCTTACGGAGGACTGCGCGGTATTTTAACTTTGTGTTATTTTATTGCATCTGCCTTTTGTTTTCAGGTAGTGGAATACGGTCTGTTTGTGAAGCACTATAAGGTTGAAGTTTATCTTCTTGAGCTGAAGCTGTGTGAGAGCAGTGATCCTGAAGATGTAATTAGCTGCCACTTTAGCAAAGCAGATACTGTTGGTAAGTAGTTCTCTGATACATGAAGCTGTGCTCTGATGTTACCTCGAGATATTTTGTGTCCTCCTGAACAAGAATGATGTTGATAAACTGGAGCAAGTCTAGTGGGTACCAATAAGACAGTTGGGGTTGGAGTCTCTGATGTGTGGGAAGAGGCTGAGGGAGCTGTGCTTAGCCTGCAGAAGAAAAGGCTTTTGGGGGGACCTCACAGCACTATGAGGAGGTTGCTGAGAACATAAAGTCAGGCTATTTATTGAGTCACAAAGTAAGAAAACACCAGATAATAGTCATAAATTAAAACAGGACAGATTCCAACTGAATACAATGAAAATGTTTTCCCTGTTAGGGCAGCTAAACGTTTGAACAGGGCCCGGATGGGTGGGGGAAATCTCCTGCCTTGCAAGTTTTGAACACCTGATTGGATAAGCCCCAAGCATCCTTGTCTGAATTCAGTGTTGACCCTGCTTTGAGTGGTTGGACTAGGAACCTCCTGAGTTTTGTCCAGCCACAGTGATTCTGTGTGCAACACAGGGAGTTGTGGTTGAGAGCTTTGAAGAACACATTGCTTACTAACTCATGTCCTTAAGAAATATTCATGTCACTCTTGTAAAGCAGTTCTGTCTCTGGTGCTTCTACGATTCCTTCTTTGTAGTGTGTGAATGTTTTGGACATCTTCTTGGTGGCTCTTCCTGTATTTCCTGAAATTTGTTCTTTCTCTCTCTCTCTTTCTCTCCGTGTCATCGCTATGTTTTCCTGTGTGAAAATGCTGGATGTCAGCTGTCATATATGTTCATAAAGATTCTTTTCTTTCAGTTTGCTGATGTATGGCCTGACAGTAGTACCTGAAAATACTTAGTTCTTGAACATACGTTTTCAAATGATGACTATTTCATAGAAGCTGGCCTTTGGACAGAAACTTCTCACTGTGTTCTAAACATTATTGGTTTGAGGGTTTGACAGGCAAATACGTGACTGAAAAGAGAAGTTACTCATTCTTTCAGACTAAATATTAGACAAGTTACATGAGCAATTGTAACTTCCGTGATACATTTTTTTTTTTTGCTTGAATCTTGAAGGATCAGTGATGTATCTCATTGCTGAATGTCTGACTTGTCAGTTTGTTTTGTGTGGGTTCATGTTGTTGTGTTTTTTTTTTGTTTGTTTGTTTGTTTGGCTTTTTTTCCCTCAAAAGCACTCATGTTTTTGGAATTTTGGTGTTGTTTTTTTTTTTTTTCCTCCCAAACAGCTACCATCGAGAAACAAATGAGAAAACTATTTAATATCCCATCTGAGAAGGAAACTAGATTATGGAGCATGTATATAAATAACACTTATGAGCAGCTCAGTAGGCTGGATAGCACAGTGCAGGATGCAGGGCTCTATCATAGTCAGGTAAGGGGCATAACTTTATAGAATCTCGTATACTGCTTTCTCTAATACGTAGTTTTTTTTTACTCGCTTTTATTACTTTGATCAAACATTGAAAATGTGATTTGTTAATGGTTTTGCAAAATGTATAATGGATTTGCAGTTATCTATCTTTATTACCTGAACTCTCCTCCAGGTTGTTCTAATAGAAGTCAGAAATGAAGATGGCACATGGCCTGGACAGCATTTCCTGGCAAAGTAAGCAAGCAAGCATGTTCTAATGGGTTCTGCTATTTTGTCAAGCTTGTTTACTTGTTTTTAGTGACCATGTGTTCTCTGTGGAAGCCTAATTGTTACTGCCTATTGTGCATTTCTTTCTTTTGAGTATTTTGAAGGAGGAGATAAAACTTGACTATAAATATTCATAGAAATCATAGAATGGTTTGGGTTGGAAGTGACATTAAAGACCATATAGTTCCAACCCCCCTTGCCAGGGGCAGGGACACCTTCCACTAGATCAGGTGTTTTTCAGTGGTTCTGCTGCTGGTTTCTTGTCTTAGCAACAGTCTTCTGTTTTAATACCCATTTCAAATAGGTTGTGTAAGCTTAGGGTTCTACAGCGCTTAGGAGACAAAAGCGCTATTACTTTGAGCTAGTCTACTTAAAAAGCTACCTCTGCAGACTACACAGTGAAAAAAAAAAATCTGATTTCTACCCCTATGGAACAAAAAGGATCTTGGAGTTTATTTCCAAAACTGCCAGTAGCGAATACTCAGTTCTGATAGTTCTTCCTTAGAAAGGGTATAGAAATAGCTTAACAGCTCCCACTGCTGCCCTCAACAATTAGAAGCCTGTAAATATTACATAGATACTATCTCTAATATCTAATTTAGAGAAGAGATGGATAAGATGGGGGGGTTGATGAAATACTGTGTGTATGGAGTGAATGGTGTAGAATGGAAGTTGCTTGCAATGCTAAAGAACTGCTGTTATTCATTCATGCTACAGAATGTAAAATCCTGTGATTTTATTAGTCTGATGTCCTGCTTGCTTTCTTGCAAGTATACCATCAGACTCAGTATTGATAAAGAATGTGTTTTTCTGTACAATACAGTTAACTTGTAGAACTTACTGCCAAGTGATCTTATTTGAGATCAAGATCTTACTAGTGTTAAACTTGAAGAATGGATCAAATAGGTCAGTGAAGCCTGTTTTGAAACAATTCTGTACTTCTGAGATACAATACTGGGTAAATGGATCAGGAGAATGTTCATAGAATTATAATGAACTTTCTGTAAAGAGTACAATGTGAAAAGCATCTAAACATGTCATGTACATAATTGAGTAGTAATTGACAGTCAGTAGTAGAGAGGCAGCTGTGCAGGACCAGGTCATACATAACCTTTTGTTTCCATTTGAAGCAAAGCTAAAAAGGAGCTGTGAAGCATTCCCAGGCCTCAGTCTTTTCTTTTTTTTTTTTCAGCAGTTATTCTGATAGGTAAAGACTTTTAATTAGTGATATTTGAAATAAAATAGTTATCAGTATGCAGATTAATATTTTTCTAATGACTTAGAAATAAATATTTGCTTATTATAATGTATAACTCAGACTGTTCTTTGACTTGATGCTGATAATGGTGGCTGAAAGAATTGTAAGTCATACATTTAGGATTATCTGTTCCTTTGTACATTGTCTTGGCTAACTATTTCCTTTGCCCTTATCTCTGTTAGTTAAGAAACTAAGCATGTATATTCCTCATAATGTCTTTCTTATACAGTTGGGTGTGTTGGTTTAGCAAGTTCTGCTCTCTGGCTTTTGTGCCCTTATTTAGTCTTGTAGCCTAAATGCATAACAACTGTTCAAAACCACTGTTTGGGAAGCCAAAGAGGGGAAGAAGCTGGGCTGTCCCTCCTTTTTAGGACTGACCTTGCTGTGTGCTGTTCAGCACACAAACTGCTCATCAAATGAGAAGGACATTTTTGTGGCCAGGGCAAAGGCTGTCTCTCAGGAAAGCAGTATGCTGTACCATCTTTGGGTTATAACGAGCCCTGCTGGCACCCACATTTTGCCTTCCTGTGCTAAAGGTGGCTGTGTCATGTAAAGAGAAGTCAGGTAGAAAGATTAGACTTTAAAATTCTTTGTGTTTTATGTCTTTAAGCTACTAATATTGTTGCCTTGTTAACACCAAAAACGCTTATGAATTGTACATATACTTTGGTAATAATGAGGAAGACCGTACTGGATCTGGACCAGGTGGGTCCAGTAGTCTACCTTGTAGCGTGGGTAGTAGCAGACACATCGGAGGAGTAAAAAAAGCTCCCTGTAAGAAGAGGGCATAATTAGCAATGCATATGCCATGGTATACTGCTGTCTTCTGCTAGCCTGCAACTCAGACTCTGAGATGAACGAGTCTAGATATTTATGCTGAATATATGTTGACAGTCTAGGGGGACTTTTCTTCTGCATTTTGGCACTTCTGTTGCGTGTCACCACTCCCTGTCACATATGAGTGGGCTGGTGGCCGTCTAGACTTGGGTAATTTGTAGGTCTTAAGTTTTCTTTCTGCTGTTCTAAGGTGTTCAGTGTTTGGCTGGGTTAGAGTTAATTTCCACAAGAAGTTAGGAGGGTGCGCAGCCGGGATAGCTGATGTGAACTAGCCAAGGGGATATTTGATACCCTGTGACGTCATGCTCAGTGTATAACCAGGAGGAGCTGGGGTCGGGGGGGTGGGGAAGTGTCCCAGCTTGGGAACAGGCTGAGCGTCGGGTTCCGGGCGGTGAGCAACTGCATTGTGCATCACTTGCTTTGTATGTTCTTTTATTGGTATTACTGTTACTACTACTTATTCTCTCTTTGTGTTGGCCTATTAAACTGTCCTTGTCTAACTCTCGAGTTTTTTACCTTTTTGTTCCAGTTGTGTTCCCTGTCCCACTGCAGGGAGTAGGAGCGAGCGAGTGGCCACATGGTGCTTAGTTGCCGGCTGGGCCTAAACCACAACACAGGGGTTATGTCACAAAGCTTTTCACCTATTTCTAAGGGCCTCACATTTAAAAAAAGGAATAATGAAGTTGTATTATTTTGTTGGTTACATAATATATTCTTGGTGATTAAGCTAAATTTAACTTTCTGGAATCATTGGTGATGCTCCATATTAATGGATTTATAATTAATCTGTGCTTTCCTTTCACATCAGTCAAAACCAATTCTGAAGTTTATTTGGTTTCCTTGCTTTTTTTAGCCTATCTACATACAAATGCATAAATACTTAATACTCTATAGTTTGTAATTTATTTGATGTTTGAATATTCTCCAGCTATTTCTCATGTTTTATTGAGAATCCTTAATTTTTTCAAGACATTCTTTTATTAAAGGTAGCTTCATATTTCATTTAGCTTTGAATACACCATCTAAATTCCACTACCCTATGCAGTTGAAATCTAGGAAAGCATAGTGCAAAGATTTATTAGTCTTGGGTTGAGTCTTTTTCATAAGTTAATCTTGGAACAACGTGGATTCCCCCCCCCCCCCCAGGAGAGCAGTAATTTAATAATTAAAATCATTAATGAATTTTAATCCTATTTCAGGCAAACATTTTGCTCCAGTATTCTGTTTTTCAGCTGGAGAAAATCCTGTTTAGCCAAGATGATGGGGTACTTCATATTTGGAGCTCTTTGCTTGGGCTGCATCACTGTAATACTACAAAGTTATGAGAAAGTCTTTCCTTATTTAGTGTTTTGATGGAACAAACAAATGGAATGTAGAGCTCTGCTGTTGATAGGGGAATGGTGAGCATCTGCATGGCCACCAGTGTGCCAAAAGAGGCCTTGGAAAGCTGAGAGTTGATGTCACTTGCTATTTGGTGGGTTCCAAATAGTAAGGATTTTCCCCCCCCTGTTTGCTGCTTGCCAGAGGCACTCCTTGTTTGTGCCCAGATTAAAGCACGAAGGTAATGACAGATCTGACCAGAACGTGTTAAAACAAACTTGGTGTATACATTTTTTTTATATTAAGCAGTCACTGGTCGCAACATTGCTTTATTTGTTCACATGGTAGAGTTATGTAAATCCTTATGTGCACTATGTATTCCCTGTGGTGATGTTTGTCGCCTCTGGGAGAGGGATCAGGGCTTTCATTTTGCTGTACTGGGTAACGTCAACTTATGATTACATTACAGGTCATGAGGTTAAGCTGGTATTTGTATGTTGAATTGCTCTCATGCATGTACCTTGAGTGTCTTCTCTTGGAGCTTATTAGTTACCACACCTAGTCTATGGGGAAGACAGGAGGGAGTACTTTCTCCTGCTCTTTAACTTCCCCTTTCTCCGTCAGGGTAATTACAACAGCTTTTGAGAATTTTGAATATCCTTAGGATGTTCAAGCCAGCATGCTCTTATTGCTATGTCTCCTGAATGTGTTCCAGGTCTTGTTTAGGGTTACAAAAAATTGGGAATACTACCCAGAGATCTGCCCCAAAGCGGAATAGTTATGGCTGGCACGGCATGTGGGAGAATATGGGCAGATACCTAGAGAGCTTCTCACCTCCGATGGTTTGGAACTTCACGCCTGAACAACTGCAACACCCTGATGAAGTGATAGAATGTTTGAAAAGAAAATGCTTTGGCAGTTCCAAAAGTGCACAACTTAGCACACTGTGCTGGGCCCTGGCCAGTATCTACCGAACACTGCTCAATACTATGCAGCACCCTCAGGGGGAAGGGAGGGAAAACAGACCAACAGGCACTGTGGCTACTCAGACCCTAGTGACGGGCACTGCTGCTGAACTAGGGAACCAGCCTGGGCCAAAACAGGCCCCTGTACAGAAGAAGAAATACACAAAAAAATCGGCTCTCTTAGTGAGGGATGAAGGTGAACCAGGGTCATCACAAGAAGAGGAGGAAGAGGCAGAACCAGGGATAATCACCCAGTCCCTATCCCTGAGTGAGCTGCGAGATATGCGAATGAATTTCATCCGCCATCCAGGCGAGCACATTGTTACCTGGCTGCTCCGATGCTGGGATAATGGGGCCAGTAGCTTGGATTTAGTGGGTAGCGAAGCCAAACAGCTGGGTTTCCTGTCTAGGGAAGAGAGCATTGACAAGGCTATTGGAAAAGAGACTCAAATCCTCAGCCTCTGGAGGCGACTTCTGTCAGGTGTGAAGAAAAGGTACCCCGTCAGGGAAGATGTTACGTATCACCCAGGCAAGTGGACCAGCATGGAGAGAGGTATCCAGTACCTGAGGGAATTAGCTGTGCTAGAGGTGATTTATAATGATCTGAATAGCGAGCAGTTATCCACAGATCCAGATGAAGTCCAGTGTACGCAACCCATGTGGCGGAAGTTTCTGCGAAGTGCACCGCTGTTGTATGCCAATTCGTTGGCAGTAGTGTTCTGGAAGGAAGGTGAGGGACAAACGGTGGATGAATTGACTGGCCGACTCCGACAATACGAAGGAAGCATCTCTTCCTCTTTATGGGCCTGTGTTTCAGCTGTGGAGAAACTGCCAGACATACTAGTCAAGAAACTGTCACAAGAGTTCCAGCAATTCGAGGGTAGGTTCCTCCCCACACCTGTACAGGCCAATATCTCTGCTACTAGGAGTGAGCATTCCTCTGCTCAAGAGAAAGGATCTAGAAGGGACACAACACGGGCTACCCTGTGGTCTTACCTGCGTGACCATGGAGAGAACATGAGGGAGTGGGATGGAAAACCTACCTCGACCCTAGAGGCACGGGTATGTGAGTTGCAAGGAAAAACAATTACAAGAGGGGATTTTTCCTGGAAAAATGCTACTCCAGTTTCCAGTGGGCAGTTCCTCAGAAAGAGTGGAAGGGCTGATCTTGCTTCTGATCCTCTTGAAGGGACTTCTGATTCATGTTGTCAAAAAGTGAGTAACAAATACTATGACAAGGAGTAGAGGGGCTCTGCTTCCAGCCAGGTGGAGGAAAGGGACAACCAAGTTTATTGGACTGTGTGGATTCGATGGCCTGGCACATCAGACCCACAGGAGTATAAGGCTCTAGTGGACACCAGTGCGCAATGTAACTTGAGGTCATCAAGCTTTAAAGAAGCAGAACCAGTCTGTATTTTTAGAGTGACAGGGGTATCCCAACAGCTAACTGTATTGGAAGCTAAAGTGAGTCTAACTGGGAGTGAGTGACAAAACCACCCCATTGTGACTGACCCACAGGCTCTGTGTATCCTTGGCAGAGACTGCTGCAGGAGAGGGTATTCCAGGGACCCAAAAGGGTATCGGTGGACCTTTGGTATTGCTGCTTTGGAGATGGAGAAAATTGAACAGCTGTCTACCTTTCCCGGTCTCTCAGAGGACCCTTCGATTGTGGGGTTGCTGGTGGTTGAAGAGCAACGGGTGCCAATCGCTACAACAGTGCACCGGTGGCAATATCGCACCAACAGAGGCTCTCTGATTCCCACCCGTAAGCTGATTTGTCAACTGGAGAGTGAAGGGGTCAGTGCAAAATCCTGATGGGGAGCAGAGACTATCGTGGCCTGAATGAAGTCATGCTGCTGCTGAGTGCTGCCATAGGGAACATGCTAGAACTTCAGTAGGAACTGGAGGCAAAGGCAGACAAGCGGTGTACCACAACTGGTACCGCTAGTGCATTTTTCCCAATCCCTTTGGTGTCAGAGCACAAGCCGCAGTTCGCTTTCACTTCAGGGGGTGTCTAATACACCTGGAATCAACTGCCCCAGAGGTGGAAGCACGGCCCCACCATTTGCCATGGACTGATCCAGACTGCACTGGAACAGGGTGAAGCTCTAGAACATGCAGTATGTGGATGACATCATTGTATGGGGCAACACAGCAGAAGAAGTTTTTGAGAAAGGGAAGAAAATAGTTCAAATCCTTCTGAAAGCCAGTTTTGCCATAAAATGAAGTAAGGTCAAGGGACCTGCACAGGAGATCCGGTTTTTAGGAATAAAATGACAAGACAGGCATAATCATATCCAATGGCTGTGATCAACAAAATAGCAGCTATGTCTCCACTGACCAACAAAAAGGAAATACAAGCTTTCTTAGGTATAGTGGGTTTTGGGAGGATTCATATTCCAGATTACAGTCTAATTGTAAACTCTCTCTGTCAAGTGACCCAAAAGAAGAACAATTTTATGTGGAGCCCTGAGCAGTGACAAGCCTTTGAACAAATGAAATGGGAGATTGTTCATGCAGTAGCCCTTGGGCCAGTCTGGGCAGGACAAGATGCTACAGATGTGCTCCGTACCACAGCTGGGGAGAATGGCCCTACCTGGAGTCTGGCAGAGAGCATCAGGGGAGACCTGGGGCCGACCCCTGGGGTTTTGGGGGTTGGGGACATAGAGGATCCAAAGCCTGCTATGCTCCAACTGAAAAAGATATTGGCAGCATATGAAGGCGTGTAAGCTGCCTTGGAAGTGGTTGCTACTGAAGCACATCTTCTCTTAGCAGCCTGACAGGTTATCCATGAATGTGAAACGTGCACTGCGGTCAAAGCCAAGCAATTAAGGTCTCTCTGGTATGGAGGATGATGGCTGAAATATAAATATGGGGAGGCCTGACAGATTGGCTATATCACACTTCCACAAACCTGCCAAGGTAAGCACTGTGTGCTTACAATGGTGAAAGCAACCACTGGATGGCTAGAAACATATCTTGTGTCCTATGCCACCGCCTGGAACACTGTCCTGGGCCTTGAAAAACAAGTCTTATGGTGACATGGCTCCCCAGAAAGAATTGAGTCAGACAGCAGGACTAATTTCTGAAACAACCTGGGCCAAAGAGCATGGTATCGAGTGGGTATATCACATCCCCTGTCATGCACCAGCCTTTGGGAAAGTTAAATGATACAGCGGGCTGCTAAAAACTACGCTGAGAGCAATGGGGGGGTGGGACCTTCAAACATTGGGATACACGTTTAGCAAAAGCTGCCTGGTTAGTGAGCAGTAGAGGATCTATCCATCAAGCTGGCCTTGTCCAATCAAAAAAACTTCCATGTACTGTAGAAGGGGATAAAGTCCCTGTAGTGCATATGAAGAATGTGTCAGGGAAAGACAGTCTGGGTTAGTCCTGCCTTGAGCAAAGGCAAACCCATCTGTGGAATTGCTTTTGCTTGAGGACCTGGATGCATTTCATGGGTGATGTGAAAGGATGGGGAGGTTTGATGTGTACCTCGAAGGGACTTGACTTTGGGTGAGACTGGCAAGTGAATTAAATTGTATGATGTTAATTGCTAAGTAAACCTGCCACTGTATGTCATCACAACCACAGTTGCTATATGCCATATTGATGACATTACAGTAAGAACCACCTAAATCAATGAAGGATGGACTTTGATGAAACCAAGTGAAGTGCAGTGGTGATGGAACTTGAATTGGCTTCAGCAACTGGTACCCAGCAACTTCCTCAAGATCACCATCTTCAAGCTGCAGACCGGGAGCATGGGCCATGCCAGATACTCCATCCGTGAGCTCCAGATGCAGCGTGCGCTGGTCAGACACCAGAAACCATCTGCCCTGAAAGACTGCTAGAAGAGATGGAGCCCCAAAGTCATGAATTAAATGAACTCAAAAGAGGCACTAGAGGAATGGCCCATAGACTAAGGGAATCGTATCTCTCTGTGTCTGTATCTATCTGTCTGTATGTCAAAGACAGGAAAGGTGGTGGTGATTAATTGGAAAGTGTAGAATCTGGGCATGATTTCCTGTGTTTGGCTGGGTTAGAGTTAATTTCCAGAAGAAGTTAGGAGGGTGCGCAGCCGGGATAGCTGATGTGAACTAGCCAAGGGGATATTTGATACCCTGTGACGTCATGCTCAGTGTATAACCAGGAGGAGCTGGGGTCGGGGGGGTGGGGAAGTGTCCCAGCTTGGGAACAGGCTGAGCGTCGGGTTCCGGGCGGTGAGCAACTGCATTGTGCATCACTTGCTTTGTATGTTCTTTTATTGGTATTACTGTTACTACTACTTATTCTCTCCTTGTGTTGGCCTATTAAACTGTCCTTGTCTAACTCTCGAGTTTTTTACCTTTTTGTTCCAGTTGTGTTCCCTGTCCCACTGCAGGGAGTAGGAGCGAGCGAGTGGCCACATGGTGCTTAGTTGCCGGCTGGGCCTAAACCACAACACAGGGGCCACTGCTGTTTCTTAGTTTGCTGCTCCCTAAGGAACAAAATATTTTCATATATTTTGAAACTGCTTTTACTACTAGATAGCGTTTCAGAAGAGAGACTGAATTGTACTTATTCTAGTAATTTCAGAATGGGAGATATACTTAGTTTCTGAAGGGGGGATTATATCATTGGCTCTGTGGAACTTAGTCCTCTTTAATTGTTACAAGACTCCCAAAATAAAATCCTGAGCTAGCAAAGTTCCATCTCATACATAGCACACTTTTATCCTGTGTATCATTTTCTTAGCACAAATGAAAAAGAAATTGTGTCAGGTCTATAAAAATAGCACCTTTTTAATCAGATATTGTATTTGAAAAACAGGAGTGAAGCTATATTTGGCATGTGACTAGTAGCTGTATGCCTCCCTTTGTGATTAACGGCAAGAAAATACCTTTTGGTTCTTTGGTTGCTACTAGAATTTCCTTGCTGTTTCCTCTTCCCACACTCATACTTACTGATGGCACTGTATAGTTGGTGGACTTCTACTGTCCTCAGTAAAAACGTTGAAGATTTGTTGCTTAGTTCTCCCATCTGGTAACACATAAGGCTTTTCTCAACTACTGTCTTGATTTAGGTATCTGTTCAACCTCATACAATATTCAGTGATACTACATGCCAGAAATTACTGTACAATTTTAAGACTTGGGTGGTTGATATGTATTTTGTAGGTACATAATACCATAATTACATGCCCTTACATATTTAAAACTTGTCTCCTTTCCCCAGTTACTTGTGTGCTCATCGTTTCAGAGAACCCCTTCAGCAACTGGGCTAAATATTTTGTGGGCAGATCTGTATTACATGACTTTAAAGTGCTTGAGTGTGCAGCAGATGCCATGCTTTCAGAGTATCATTCAGTATGTAAGATAAGTTATGGAGGCTTTTGCATGTAAGATTTTTCTAAATGAGAAACCATTATGGTCTCTGCAGTTCTAGCTTTTCTTCCTTTGACAAAAACTTTTTGTCAGTATTTTTAATGTTGTTTTCCATTTGAAAGCCTTTTACAATATTTTTTTTTCAAGCTGTTCAACTTAGCAGTTTTTTTACTTATCAACCATATGGCCTCACCGTTTCCATACTAGATTAATCTAACTTTGTCTTCATTATGGTCTAGTCTCCAAATTTCTCCTTGCTTGCCATTGTGTGGGGTTTTGAAATGTTGTGTGGCAAGATGTGAAATGGCTGGCTTTAGTTGGCAGGTGGGGGCAACGTGTGTCAGTATTGTGCAGCATGAAGTTGTGTATATGGGGATAAAGAACATGAGCCTGAAATACATGCTATTGGAATGTGATTCCAGTCCTCATTCAGTCCCCTGAATGCGAGCTCCTGTTGCTACCTTGAGGCAAAAGCAAAGAACCTCTGTGGTTCAGTAGGGAAGTGCTGAGTGTGCATCATGAGACTTTTTTGAAAACTAACACACTGATAAACTGCATGTAGAGTGATCGTGTCCTGTGAGGTCAAAAAATTTGAAAGGTAGCCTAATGAGAGGTTTCAGAAGGTGCCAAGTGAATTGTTGAATAATTAGCAAATGATTTTTGTTCTAGAAGACTTAGAAGTTAAAGTCAGTAAGAAATTTAAAAGTTGATTTTAACACTTATAAGCTTCTGAGAAAGTGCAGTTAAAGAAGGAACTGTACAGGAAGCAGATGGAGATGAGCACAAACCAGTGTCCAGATAATGAAGCCAGATATGCTGCAAATGAAATGCAAGTTTTTTCTGACTTTAAGGGTTATTGATCATTGGAACAGTTTATTTGTGGTCTGCTGGATTGGCTATTGCTGGCCACTGTGAAACCATGATGGTAGTTTTTTCAAGAAGAGGTATAACAACTCAGGACTTACCTTGAGAGGCTGAAATTGTGCTTAAGCAGGAAGACTGGTTCCATAGTCATACCACACAGTCTCATCTTCAGACCTCTGAAATTGTTTTCTTAAATCCCTGAACTGTTGCATGGCTAGATGAAATATTTCTTTGCTATAAATTTACTCCTGTATAGATTTTGTTGATGAAATGTAACTGAACGTGTTTATCTCTGTCAGAAACTTTACAGTGGTGATCAAAGGGAAGCTTCAGGAGCTTGGCACCTTCCAGTCCACTGTCTGTTGTGCCTACAAAGAGCAAACTGAAAGTAGTTTCAGTGGTAACCCACTGAGTGGGCCAGAGCATTTTGGTAGGTTCTAAGTCATGAACTTCAAAGAGGAAGTAATGTTTTTCTCTTGCTTCAGAGCAAGGTCTTGGGGCCTCTGTTTTCAAGGAAGCAGAAGTTACATACTGTGAGAGATGGTACTGGAGGGGACAGATGGCTTTGACTGGTCAAAGTCTGCATCTGAAATGCTTTTTGGGGCATTGGGGATAAGTACTCGGGACCCAGGACTTCTGTTGCCATCTCTGTGTGCAAATGAGGCAGTCTCCTCAAGAGCCTACAGTATTGTGGGGTCATTAGCAGTAGCTTCCTGGGCTTAAAATGGGAAGCTTTTGGTGAAAAACATTTTTCTTAGCTGCTATCTGTGCCTTTCACCTGGAATCATAGCTACCTTTGTGACCGTCTCGTGAAATGAGGGGGAGCTGCTGTGCTTAGTAAATCCTCAGTCTTTCTTCAGTTACTACAGATAGATGAATAACCTGTAAAATGTGAGAGTGCTTAAAATTTTAATCTCAAGTGTATTTGATTTTTTTTTTTTTTCTTGGTCCACACATAGAAAGCTGTTGGCTTCTCTTTCCTTGTTTTACTTCTTACACGATCCTCCCAGTTTTGTAACAGTAATTTTCTCAGGATCCTTGATGACTTTGCAGGTAGACCTTTCCCCACTCCATGACTTATCTTATATCTGATTTCTGATCCATTTTTTATCTTCCCCCATAGTTCTTAGCTTTTTTTGTGTGCATAGGATACTATTGAAGTACTTCTTGGAACTCTTCAGTTACCATCTGACTCTTGATTATGTCTGGCCTCTATGCTTCTATTGGAAATTTCGAAAGCACTTGAGGTCGTCCTCCTTATCTTTTCTCCCAACTAGATTTTCTTCATACTATTTTCTGAATGTTTTACTTTCTTCTCTCACTAGGATCAAACATGTGAAGCGGAGATGCTACATTTTCAAGTCTAGCATGTTCTAGATTGCCCTTCATTGCTTCTAGATAACTCACTACTTCTTCAAACTTGTTAGCTTAATTATTTTATTCTTGACCCTTGAAGCTCTCACAGTGTGGAACGTGAGTCTGATAATTGTTGTTTAGGCTAGATTCTCTTGTTGTCTCACTGATCTTATCTTTGTGCCCAGGTAGTCTTGAAGTTCCACCTCCAGCATGTAATGACCAGGTTGTGTATTGTCCCAGAAATGATTGCCTTGGTTATTTCAATAGATCTGCTCATTCTTTCTAGTATACTTTCCAGTATAATTTTTGGTTGTGCTGATTGGTGGCTGCTTTTTTTTTAAGCATACTTCAGGTTTTGACTGCATTCGGGGTTTGTATTTTCATCTGGAAGCTCCTGTCATAACTTGTTTCCTCCTGTATTTATTTTACTGCTGTTGTATTTCCACACTGGTAAGGCTGCCCAGCTGTTCTGCCTCCTCTTGACCATTATGGCTTGTTCTTTGTGTTTTAGTTTTTGCCTTTAGAGGTTTTCCAAGACTATTTTCTTAGTAGCCTCTGAGCTATGAATATACATTTTTAGTTGGTATCATTTAAGAACCAGGGTCACATTAAAAGAGATACAAGAACAAGCTAAAGCTTGAGGGCACTGTCCTTTGCTAGTGCTCTGCTCAGCTTTGGGTGTATTAGCCACTGTTGTGTGGCTGTTGGTGTCCTGCACCTTCTTAGATTTGGTTTTGCATGTTTATTCAGTCAGAGATGGAGAGAATAGACCATTTCCCAGTTAGCTGTTGCTATAGAGAAATTCATTAGTATTAACAATAGTTTCTTTAAGCCTATTTATGTAGTACTATTTTGTGGTTTTGCTTTTTCATGGAGCCAAAGCTGTCTATGACAGAACACTTCTGAATTTTAGTGCCTTGTTGATCTTTTGTAACACTGTTCTGGTTCTTTTCCAGACCAAGGAGTAGTAGTGTGGAATAGCCTGGAATTTACAACCAGATAGGCTTGAGGCTTATAAACTCTGTAAATCCATTTCAGTATCTCCAGTCTCAAAATGCTGAGGCTTGCTATGCATGCCACATGTTCATAGCGGTGTGTCTTGCCTCCAAGTTGTAGTTGTACAACAATGTAGTTGTATCAGCTAATCTCGGTAACAATTTTGTGCCCACCCTGCTTATCTTCTTACTAATTAACGTTCTGTTTGAGTGGGTGCTCTGAGTTTCAGGTAGGGAAGGACCGACTTTGTTGCTTTTTAAAATGGGGTTAGGATTTTGTAGTTTTAAGATTGGGATTTTTTTTTTTTTTTTTGCTTGCTTGTTTCAAGGTGGTTTACTCATAAACTTAAAGCTTTCTTCCCTGTCACTCACACCATCCAAATTGCCTACTTCTGTTAGTCTGGGACCCCGATTTTGCTTTAAGCAAGAATTGTTACTCCTGCTTCTGATACTTTTGTCTGATGTTTCTGTTCCAGACAAGTGTTTGGAAGTGTGATCACACAGATCAAAGCAGTAAATTCTATGTGGGGGAACTAACTGTACTGTGGCAAGTCCTTGGATTTTTGTGGGAGGTGGGACTGCGGGTGAAAAAAGTAGTAGTAGCACTGTTTCTACTTCTTTTTCCTTTTTCCCAGATCAAGCACTGCAACTAGCAGAAACTTTACTACCTCTTCAAAATCATCAGCCAGTTCTTATTCCTCAGTGTCTGCCACTTCTGTTATTACTAACGGTGATAGCAGTAACTCCTATGGACTGAACACCTCCCACCTGGGCAGGGGGTAAGAGCAGGAATGTTCTTTATGTTTCTTCATCCTTCATGTGAATGAATTCTC